TTTTTTGACACTTTCAAACATTTTGACAAAAAGTCGGTCAGTTTAAAACGGCCCTCAGGCTTCACTTGGGAAATCAAGACGACACCAATCTCCCACAGCATCCGCCGTAGATCGCGGCGAAACCAATCAACCGCTGTGTGTCCTGTCCTGTGCCTCGGAAGCATGATGCACGAGGCAGGTCGTGCCCGTTTTTTTCTCTCTCTTCGCCTCCCTCTCTCTGTGCCTCGCTCTCTCTCCTCTTCTTGTGCTTTTGCTGATCAGTACCACACCGAAGTACTCGCGCGTCAAGCGAATCCGACCCTCTTTTGAGAAGGGCCGGTATCCTATGGAGGCGGTGCCCATGAACGATGAACGAGCGAGCGTTGTTGGTGGTTTGGTTGTGGTCGTGTATGTGTGGTACACGACATGTGCGGTACACGTTTGTTCTACTTCTTTGTACTACGGGTTTTATGCAAGAGCGTCGGGCGCCGGGATTATATGACCATATCTGGGTACAATATCGACCTCTTCCGGGTACACCAATATCGGTCACACCAGAGGGTCCTAATTCCAGCGGAAGTTGTACCCGATCGAGGTTTCGTCAGAAATGGGTACAATGGTTCTTCGGCCAATCAGCTGACAGCCTGGGGGTGGAAGCGTGTTGATTCTAACTGTACCCTTCAGGGGTTATCAAGTACGCGGGTATACCTGTTTCTGGTTATTGGTCTTTTTTCCAACAAAATAAAAAACTTTACGCGAGTGAATCAACGCAATCGCGGAATTGCGGGCAACGCACGCCCCTCTGCTGGGCCAGGCCACACAAACAACCCCACAGGAAAGGATTGCTATATACCTGAACGCTTGACATTAAAACGAGGTGAGTGATTGCTCGTGTCGGTGATAATTGCGGGGCGGGGCGGAGGAAGGCAAGATCGACGTTGGGGGATATCGTCGTTCTGCGTTCGAAACGAAGGCAACATCGGAGACTCAACGACATAACTCAACCTGCTACAAGCAACACACAGAGACGTCACAGACAGGGCGCTCGAAAAGAGAGGGAGGAAGGTAGAACAGAGAAGAACCAGGGTGATGGCACAGAAGGGATGTGGTGTGATAAGGCATCGTGTTTTCTGATGTGTGTGCCCCCAAAGCAGCTCCTGACCACTCTTCGGCGCGCGTTTGCTCGCGGAGTCATGGAACTACGAAAGCTCGACCGCCGACGAGTTTTTTTTTGTGTTCGATAAGTGAGAAATAAGGAGAGCATGGAGACCGTGCCACGACGGGTAAACGAGCGCGACCTTGCCCATCTACCCGAGTTGGAATATTCTCTTGCTGTAAACAACAGCCCCTGGCAATCAAACCAGCCAGGTCGAGCGCTTTCTAGGTTTGCTGCCATTGAAGTTTGCGAGTTTTCGGGCGAGGGAAACGAGCAGGTTTTAGAGAGATAGCATATTCATAGGCGTACGAGAATAGAAGGTCGGTGAGTTGCTGCGCACATCACGCACACATGCAGCGGCTGCCTTTTCCCGCCGTTCAAGGCATACGAACGGGATTGAGCAACACCAGAGACCAAAATGCAGCATCAATTCAAGAATTACTCGATGATCCCACGACATGGCAGCATGGAGAGTTGTTATCCAAGCCGTTGGTTGATGATTGGCTTTATGGCGTGCTGCCTCCGGGTTCAAGTCAAGTGCGTATGCATGATGAGCGACGATTGTAAATACCCTGAGATCCAAATCTTGTGGGGGAAATACTCTGTGGCGTGGACGGGAACGCGATTAGCGCAGTGTGCGCTCGCTTTTGGCAGGGCGTCACCCGATTCCGCAGGTGCAATCGCGACCGTAGATGGCACATGGACTGGTGGCGCAATGCATATTAAACACACCGAATGGGGGGAAGGATGTCGCAAGCAACAGATGCATCAAATTTGTGTGTGTGTTGGTTGTCTGTTGGCCTCGACCACACAAGGCCAGCCTTTTTTTTTTTCTTCGATGTTCGATGTGTTCTTTCGTTATCCACGTGTTGAAGACGAAAAGGTCAACCGGAGACGTTGCAGTTTATAACCCCCCCCTCCCCTGCCCAGGTGGGCATACCGCCCGTGTCGTGCACCGCACTTGGGTGTTGGCACTTCTGTGGGAGTTGACATCAATCCTTGGTGTCGTTGAACTTTCGACGCAGAGACTCCGCCACCGCTCTCTTTCGGGTGTTGAATTTTCACCTACAGAAGTAATTCATCGGCCAACATCATTGAAGGTGTCTTGAGATGTCTTGAGATTTGAGAGGATTTGACGTGATGAAGTGAGGTTGCATCGAATTTCGGGGGTGTTGAGGTGTGGTGTGTCAGACTCGGATATGCATATTTTTATTGGATGGATCCTTGTGTCTACGTCCACCCAACCATGTTGCCATCTTTCAGCGGCAGCGACGGTATGGCTGGAAAGGGTTGCACTTCTGCTGTACAGTGCCTGCACTTGTATTTGCGTTTTTCCTTGCTCGTGGGTTTGGTGCAGTTTTCCCGACCCTTGACGTTACTGCTGTCGAAACTGTTCCGACGTCTGGTCTCCCTACAACCAACGGCTCGTATTTGTGCCGATGGTTCCCACATGAATCTCTTTTTGATGAATGAGAAACCACAGATGAGGCTGACAATCCGCGACGTGTGCAGCACGCATGCATTTGCCCCTCCAAGTTTCTCTGAACAACTTTAACTTGGCAACTTTCCACACACATGATCGTTATGGAGAGGTAGCAGTAAAGAGGAGGTTAACGCACGCGAGAGGTCTGAACAGCAACAGTTTGCATGTGTCAGGTAGGTGTGTCTGTACCATACAAATACATATAAACATGAGGGGGTAGCTTGGGATTCCTTTCGGAGTACATGTACGATGAAGATGGTATGCGTAGCTCGTAGGGTATTGCAGGGGGCGCAAATCGTTACATTATACTATAAGTTCTTGTATTTGTTGCATACCATCTGAAAGGGCCATAATGTTACGCGTGAATTTGAAGTTGTACTATGTTCACACGTACTTGTACTTTTACGAGGATCTTTGCGCACCTCTCACCGTGTACACGCAGGTTTCATGTTTCATGCGATAGATATGTATACAATGGCTCTATCTTCGAACACGTGACAACCTTTCGCGTAATTATATCGTCGAAGACCACCGTGTAAGGTGCAAGGTGAGGCATGTGCACCTGAGGTGCGGGAGGACGTACAGTAGGAGCTGCACGAACCCTTGCGGCTTTCCCCTCTCACATCAATTTGCTTCCCCCGCCGCTGACTGTCGTTCGTGTGAATTACAGCAGCACCAGGAGTACGGCTGTACAGTGATCAAGCTTCCGTCTCGAGTGCAATGGCTAGCGTCACCAGGCGAAGTGCGTCCTTGACGATCGACGACTCTTTCGACCTAGAGCGAGAACAGCGGCGATGGAGCTACCGCACCAAAGACAGCGACGGCGGCGATGACATCGGCAGCCGCCGGAAGTTATTGCGCAGCAGCAGCACCACCCAAATCAGCAGCACCCGCAGCCGAAATCTTGTTCGCAGCAAGAGCATTGCGAGAGGCGAAGGCTGCCGAACGGGTGCCCCGCCCGTCTCCTCATCTTCGCCATCGAAAGGCAAACAAATGCTCCGGTCGGTGGTTGGTTTCCTGTCGAGGGCAAAGAGCGCCAAGCCCAGAAACAGAAAGCCAAGGAGCTTCACCGTGACGGTGCCGGCTTCCCCGGCGTCCTCTCTCTCGAGGACTAGCAGCGAGTCGTCTGCGTCTGCGCACGAGGGATGCCAAGACAATGACAGCAGCAGTAGTGCCCGGGGAAGCGGGCACGGACACGGCGCGGCATCCTCTAGGCCGCGGGTTTCCTTCGTTACTGATGTGACGGTGAGAGAGGAGTGAGAGTAGTCATTTGATTTGGTTGGAGGCGGTTGTGTTTCGAGGTAATGGTGACGACCAAGGTTCTTCCCGAAAGTTTTTACAAAGTAAATGAGTATGAGTAAATCTCACAGAAGCCACGACGTACCCGTTCGAGATTTATCCACGGTCGAACGGGATGTGCTGGAGTCTCATCAATGAGTGGGGGGAAACCGACTGTTGCACCTTTCAAACCACAGTAAATTGAATCGGCCGCAATGGTGACAAGTATAAGAGCTCCCCTCTACTCTCCCGAAGACCTCGTCATTTTTGTGCAAGTTATCACGGCGTGAATGCGGATGTACGCATTCATATGTAGAAGAAAACATTCAACCTTTATTTTTTATGGGCTTGTGTGGACAAAACGTTTTGAAGAGCACGGCAGAAACGTGACTGGCGGACCAACCCAAGAACGCAGCGCAGCAGCACAGTAAATTTGCCATCGTAGTATGCAGAAGGCGTGTGGATCTCGAAAATTGCTCTCATATTTTCATGTTTCATCTTAATTTCTCCAAAGTATTCGTTGTCTTTCCCTACTTGAGAAACGATCGGCCCAACTCGGACGTCGTTCCGTGCAACAGGTAAAGAAGTATTGCGATGGATGACAGACTTTTTCAGGGCTTTTTCTTTGATAGTCCCCACATGATACGTGGTACCTGATGAACAAGATGTGAGGAAGTTGCCGTTGCTCATGGCATCTACAAAGATCCGCTTGAAAAGGGTTAGAAAGCTGTGCCAACACCCCCTCCCCTCTGGTTGCATTGTTGTCGGTGTTTTCGTGCAGACGGTTTTCATCGAGCAAATGAAGGAGGAAGAGGTGCGCAACACGTTCTACTGTCGCACGGAGTACGCCGCCTTCAAGGAGGCTTACCGTATGCACCGCGACAGCAGCACGGACTGGTGCAGGGGCAACGACGTGCTCCCGTGCAACTGCGAAGCTTGCCGAGACGACCTCGTGGAGGGAGGTCCGCACATCTACTCGGCGGCGGTTTCGTCTGCTGGTGGTGGTGCCTCCTCCCCTCAAGCAGACGCCCACGTGGGCAACGAGCACGGCCCGTACGACCATGCTCCGCCGCCTCCGCGCAATCCCTACGCACACGATGATAGAAGCGGGGGAGACGGGAGCGAGCAGCTGGAGTGCCACCACGAGCCCCCTTCTCCGGTGGGCGCAGTGTTCCAAGACAGCCCGGAGCAGGAGGAGGAAGACGGCAGCAGCAGCGGCGGCGGGGGTTTCAAGTACGCCGCCGAGACAAGGCCGATTCAACGGCCGTGCCCCACCCGCGAAGGCAGGAACAGGCGTCTTCCCTCGCACACGCGAAGTCGGACGTGGGGGATGGGGAGCATCCCGTTGGCGGTGCCCCCGGCGACCAGGTCGCACAACCCGGGCGGCAGCTTGGACGACTGGGGCGTGAGCTCGAGCGTCAGGGAGGCAGTCAAGTGCCACGGGGAAGGGTACGCGTACAAGACCCTCCGCCTCCAGGGCTTCAGCGATCTCTACATCAAGACGCACTTCTTGCCCTCGTAGCTAACGTTGCGGTCTGGTGATGCTGCTGTAGCCGGGGGTTGCTGGTCCTTCTGGGCGGGAGGTTAAGGAGAGCATTTTTTCCTGCTACGTTTCATGAAGACTGCTGACATGGTGTATCGCACGCGGTTCGATACTCTCGTGTCGACCAATGGCGTGCATTTGGTGGGTAAAGGATACTGATTAATATTTGATTGGAGACAACACCATTTGTTTTGGTTTGTGAATACGGCTTGTGTTGTTGCGATTATTTTTTTTTCATGCTGGGTCGGTGCTGTTTGAGAGAAACCTTGTTTTCTCCAGCCGAGGACCGCGAGTGTGGTTGCTTCTATCGCGTTACAGTAGGGGGCCCTCTATAGTGCCGGTATGTGTTCAGAGAGCAAAGCGGCACTATACCGGGCACCGGCACTATTCAGAGTACAGAAAGACTTGATATTACGGTGTGTGCGAGCCGAAAACACCGGCGCTATATCGGGCCACCCACTGTATGAGAGACGAGCGAGGTGAACAAAACGTGTATGATATTCGTTCTGTTTGAGACAGGCGAGTCGAACGAACGTGTATGCATGCGATATTTGTTGTATTGCGTGGTGTGTGTTCTATTTGTTGCGTGTAGAATACCGTGGTTGTGATGAGATCGTGAGGACACTTATATGTCGGTCAGCAAGGGGGGGTAGAGCTAGCTTCCTCTACCAGGAGCGACCATTGGGCGGGTTCGTACACATCATACCGTATGAAGAAGGTGCGCAGTAGTCGCGTTTTTTCCCAACGTAAAACTTGAAAGAATCGGGTCGTGACTGGTCTGTCTTGTAGTTGTTTATTGATGGTGTTTAGAAGTGTGGGCCGCGTAGGTTCGCAGGGGATATAGAGGGGGTGGTTATATAGAGCGTTCTTCGCTACATCTTCGTTTCAATTGTTGACTGCCGAGGCGCAACGCCCGAGCGTTGAAGTGAAGCTGCTGGGGTCTGTCCCCCTCTCATATATGTGAGATTTGGTTCATGGTGATGGTCGGTTTTTCTCGGCTGCGCCGTCACGTGAACAAGGAGGGTAGGTAGTTCTTGGACTTGCGAGGCGTGCTGGCGGAAGTGGCGTGGGTTCTTGACGGTTCGGAGGGTGGCGTTCTCAAAAATGTTGTACAGGCGTGTGGTTGGAACAAGACGTTTTTCGGGGTTTGTGGTGACGGGAGGTTTGTCTGAGATTTGGGGAGCGCAACGATTTTGCGCTTTTTTTTTTTTTCGGTGGGTACCTGCCTGCTGCACACGTCCGGTGTTGTCACTGGCGCGAGACACGATAAATGCAGATGACGATGATGCACACGATTGAGAGACACTTTTTTCGCTCTTGAACTATTTTCAGGATGGCTTTCGTTTCGCTTGGGTGCCTTTGTTTTTCCCACGGGAACAGTAGGATCCGAGAGGGCGAGAAAGCACGCACGGCATGTACCGATGGTTGGCCGGCAGCACTGCTTGATGAGAGAAAAAACAAACGCCATCACTTTGGGTGTTGATTTTTACCCTGTGCCGAAGATGGTGTGCTTTTCTTCGAGGAGAAGTTAATCCAAGAAGCGCTCATCGGAGTCATTGGACGGTATAGTATTCTGCGTTTGTATCCCGTGGCGGACCGGTGCAGGCCAGAATTCCAACAAGCTGCACGGCGCGCGGTAGTCCCTCTCATTCCTCCATGAGCGCCGCAATTGGGTTTTGCAACAAGAGTTATGTGTATCCGAGAATGCTGGGCGGGAGGGGGGGGGAGGTGTTGTGTTCTCTGGATGAGGAACGGCTAGAGCCGTGCGGGTATTATACCAAGATTTTTCAGGATTGTTGGTGTGTACATCATGTCGAGGAGAGACGAGAACGGGCCATGCGCTTTATAGTCTATGTCCCGGAGACAAAGATTTTTTTTTGAGGGGGGGGGGCGTTGAAGCAACAACGTTCCCTCGCGAGGTTACGTTGTTATTTGTTGTCTCTGGGTTATGTCTAAATACGGCCCGTTTGTGCAAGGTCTACCGGAGCATTTATGAGGGTTGCAGGAGTTATCATCATGGCTTATACATCCAAATGGGCAGCTAAGGGCGATTACTGGTTGATTTTGGAGGATGAGGAATGGAGAAATGCGTGCCTTCCACAGAGTACGCACATTGCGGAGTCTTGTGTGTTTTCAATTGGAGGTGTTACGTATGCAAGGCGTCGTCACGTAGTAACTCTTTTGAGCTTCCTGTTGATCGATGTGCTCCGTATCTCTCTGGATTTTAACTTGCGCACAAAGGCCATGTTTCGATCCCGATCGTTGAGCACCTGAAACATGAAGCTATCCATTCCCGGATTGAGGGTCGTTGACGGGTGGGTCTGAGCGGCTTTGCTGCGTTAAGGTTTGTGTGTGTTCATATGGATGTGTTCCATTCAGCCAAGGGTGCACCGCTTCAGCGATGTGCATGTATGGAGCCTGTTGTACCTAAATGTATGATGGATGCACACCACACGCTGTCGTCGTTGTTTGTATGGGGCGGGAGGGACGTAAATTATAGATAGTAATTCAGTCGTTCATGCCCGTCTGTTCCTCATGTCGTACCTCCCGATGGTTTAGTATATGCGCGTGTTTGTGGGTAGACCTTGAGGAAGTACAGACGGCTGAGTCCTACTCGCATTCGAAGGTTCAAGGCAAAAGTAATGCTGCAGGAATATTCTTCTGTGTGACCCCTTCATCGGAGGCCAAAGTCCGTACCGTATTAGCTGTAGAGTAGGTAGAAATGGGAGAGAAAGAATATCGCGTCGCGTGTTTGATTGTGTCGTCGTCTTACATTAAGAACCGATTCGATATCTTCTGCTATTTATCTTTTTGAGTTTGCGTCCAACAGACGAAGCGGGCGCCTCCGTTTGTCAGGGTAAATGTAGCTGAAACAAAGGTTGGCGTTTAAACAGACAGGTAGGCGACAATTGCTGCCGGTAACGCTTCAACCGCGTATTTACCACAAAGGGGTTGACTCTTCGGAGAGATTCGCACAACAGTCGCTGCGTACGTAGTTTCTGTGACAGAAGAAGAAGAAAAGTAAACACAGAGGCCTAACCAGAACTTACTACCTGTCTTGTTGTGCTTGCACGTACGTTGCAAGGAAGGACGGTTGCCGGGGAATGGACAACCACCCAGCAAGCGGTTAATTACCTCCTTTGTGTGATGGCCTTGTTCTTGAGACCCGGTTAGACGCCCACACACACGCACGCCTGACGTCTTTTCATCGGTCAGCCGGTTAGCGCGGTCGATGCTAACCTTTAGACGGTACGAGACAGAAAAACATCGACTCCAACCTGAAGCAAGTTGGGGGCATTAGAATTGGCCAACAACCCGCCGACCGCAGGACGGATGGCACCAAACATAACGATTTCAAGGCAATATAATGCATGGTGCGATGTATGAAAATGAGCCTCGATGCCTTGACCCCAGGTACGTTGTAGACTCTCATTCGGGGGCCGCAACTACTGCAAGTGTATGAATCAGTATTCAATACTGGTGGATGTAGAGTAGAGGTGGGTATAATGGCCATCTGCGGGTATGAATGGCCATCTTTTTTAAACGGGGGTATCTTGTCGGCGAATTCACGGAGCCCCTTGATCTTTTTTTTGAACTGCTCCGCGCAACCATTTGTTGAACCGGAGCTCTCGTTTGAGCACCACAGCGTCGCACGCCAAGCATTCCACCCCGAGATACAGCCGAGGGAGCCACCACAGCTCCCGCTGCTAGTCACCTTCGCCGTTTCCTTGGAATTCTTGCTAAGCATTACCCGGCGCAAGGTGGACGAGGAGCAGCTTCGGAAGGTCTGTGCAGCGATAGATGATGGCATGTTGGTTGGGAAAGCTGCTGAGGTCTTTGGGGTAGGTCGTACGTCCATCGAAGACCGCCGCCGTGGCTTGGCGGCCATGAACCCGAAGGTTGATACCGAGACTATCCTTAGCAATGAAGAGGAGGATTCGCTGGAAGATATTCTGCTGTTTGCTGCTCGCAATTTCTTGGCTGTGCATCGGGTTCACCTCAAAGATGGGGTGCGACGACTCTGCAACGACGGTCGGCGGATCCCTTGGGATCCAGAGAAAAGGGTCCGGGGAAAGATTGGGTTGCGGGCTTCCTTCGTAGGCACCCACGGGTGGCGGAGCGCTCGACCTGCATCTACGAGGCAAATAGGATCACCGAAGACGAGGAGCCTCGCATGGTGCAGTTCTACGAGAGATGGGCAGCTCTCCTCGACGAGGTCAAACCGGAGGCCAACTACGTGCACAACACGGACGAGGCAGGTGAAGAGTGAAGATTCGCTCGTAGACGAGTTTAGTCTAGACTACATGCAGCAGTAGAAACTGCGCGGGTGACTGCCGTGCAAAGACCACGAAACATGTCACACGAAAATATCAAGCAGAGTTTTGGCCCCTTGCGGCGTATTTTTGGCCTCCTCAACTGCTGGAGTGTAGTCTAGACTACAGAGGCCGTGCTTCCGCATTCCTGCTCAAAAACGCCGAAATTGCCGCTGGCTCTGGTCTGAAGTAGGCTACAGGAGTAGTTCCAGACACAAAAGTAGAGTACATCACTGATTCCAGACAAGACTATGGTAGTCTAGAATTCATTATTTTCATAGCTGCATCGCATCGTCTTCAGCTGGTAGTTCGAGGGAACCTGCGGCGACGAACGTGTAACTTAGTCTAGGGGGGCGATGTTGAGATGCATGTGCCAACACATGAAAACAAGACTAGACTAGTCTACAGCAGTAGAATCTAGACTAAGCACAGAGCACCTTGCTTTTGCTATCCCGGTTGCCTCGTCCAGCTACCGCCAAAGTGACGGTAGACTGCGTAGGCTGAAAGCCCTCGCCGCACGAAAATAAATGAAAAAGAGCCACCGCGTGTCCCCCCCCCCGTCCACCCCCGTTGCTTGGCGCGAACGATATTGACTGCAAATGTTTGGGTGTGTGCGTACACAACTGCTGGTAATATGACTATCCATCAGACTAGCCTCACCCCCCGACCCTCGCATTCGCGTTCCCGTTGCAGGTACCACCCCGCAAGGAACCAAGACGACGAAGGCGTTTGCGGAATCAGGGCAGAAGGTGGTTGGTGCGATGCGCTCCAACTCGCGAGAGAACACCACCGTGGTCGCCACCATCAGCGTTGATGGTCACACCTGGGCACCAACCATTATCTTCAAAGGGCAACGACTTCAGGCCGATTGGTTTGTAGAGCGAAACGGCCCGGAGGGTGCGAGGTACACCTGTACGGATTCTTCGTTCATGCAGGGAGACGTCTTCATCGCCTACTTAAAGGATTTCCACAAGCAGCTCGGCGACCGAGGGTTGCTCGACGGAAAACCCCACATACTCTTGCTCGATGGACATGCATCACACGTGAGCGTGCAGGTATTCAGGCTGGCCATGAATCTCAGAATCATCTTGTTCCAGCTACCCTCCCACACGTCGCACATCACCCAGCCCTTGAATGTCGTCGCCTTCGGACGCTTTAAGAAATCGGTGACCAGAGTTTTGGCGTCCTTCTACCACAACTCCGGCGGGTTGTTGCCGCTGAAACGCGACATGCCCAGCGTGATCGCGGATGCTTGTAAATTGAGCTTTACACCGGAGATAATTAAATAATCATCATTCGCTGGGGCGGGCTTGTGGCCTGTGAACAAGGAGCGGGCGCTGGGCCGGCTGAAGGGCACAGCGAAGAAGAAAGAGCGGCGAGACGAGCGCCCACCCCTACAGGATGTCCCCATCGCCGCCCTCAACGAGCAGCTGGAAAAAGACATCGGAGAAAGGGCCCTCAGGGTTTCTGAGGGGGCAAGGGCACACCGTCACGGGGATCCGAGTAGGCACGGTGTTTCTCGGTGGCCTCTTGACTCAAAGGAAGCACCCCGCACAACATGATCTACTCGACCACCACTATGGTTACCGCCCAAAAAAAAAAAACGGAGGTAAAAAAAAAACGGGAACCTGGTTGCCCGAGTTCACGAAGTGAATTGGCTTGTGTTACAACGTCTTTGCCAAGTGACGAAAACCCAACCCCGATGGCAAACACCGGGGGTGCGGGGG